GACAGCCGGGGGGCCAGGGGCCCAGGAAAGGAGGCCGAGGTGCGGTGTCAGCGGCTGGTGCTTTCGAGGGGTGGGCGTGTGTGTGTGTGTGTGTGTGTGCAGTCAGGCCCCGGGAATCTCCCTCCCTAGGGCTCCTGGAGTCCTTAGTAAAGCTGTCCGCTTTTCGTGGCCATCTCTCCCAGGCCACAGGGGTGAGGTGATAGCACCAAGTTGGGCAAATGGAGGGTGCTCAGGTCCCAAGAGGCATTCGGTGGCAAACTTAGCGGCGGGAGTCTGCCGCACTGATGCAGTGCCCACCCTCAACTCCACTCTCCTAGCCTTTTCCAGGCCCCCAGGCCTGTAGGAAGTCTTGCCCTTGAGGCTGCTGCTTTCTGGCATCTCCCAGCTCCATACCTGCAGGAGGGCAGAATAATGAGGTCCCAGGATGGGGACTGGCAGAGCTGTGTGACTTCAGTTCTTCTCCTCTGAGACCCTATTTGCCATCTAGGGAATCCCAGAGAGGCTGAGAATTTGTCCCCATCATACTTAGGCCTTCTGCTTCTAGGAGACAGCTTAGCTAAGACTACAGCCTGAGAGAGAATGGAGGTGTTTAGCTCACTAACCCCCACCCCTTTTTTGTACCAGGGATTGAACTCAAGACCTTGTGCTTGCAAGGCAGGTGCAGAGCCACTGAGTTAAATCCCCAACCTTTCTCTTAAGATGGCTCTTAGCAGTGAAGCTGGGTATCACCCTTTGGCAGCCCCAAGGAGGCAGGTGTAGCATTAGATTGGGGGGGCCTTAAAGGGCCAGGCTAGACATATGATCTGCTGCTTCCTGTCCCAACGTCCTTCATTCATTCTTCTCCTACTCAACTGTGAGTGGCCTGGCTACCACTGCTCACAGCTGATTGATTGCAGCCTCACTTAATGGTCTCTGAAGTGTGTATCACCTCTCCCAGAGGGACTGGGGGAAGTTAACACAGGGCAGAGGACTGTCTTCCACTGTAAGTCATGAAGATATTTTACTCTTCTCACACCTAGAAATAGTGATTGCTTCTGCTTAGGGAGCCAAGAGTTCATTCAGTGTCCTTATTTTACAGAATTTCTCAAGGTCACAAATCACATCAGGACAGAGGCAGGTCCCGGGCCTGTGTGCGCCCTTCCTGTGATATCCTAGGCTGGGGCTTGGGAGAGCTGGCCTTGGACCCCATCGACTGTGTGACCTCAAACCACTCTGCTCCCTCTCAGGGCTGCTTTCCTCAGTCTCTCTCCTGTCTGAATATAAATGCTTCTCCTCATATCAGGGCTTGAGTGTGGCATGAAAGGGAAGGATGATCATGTCACACAGTTCTGGCCTAATCTTGCGAGTCCAGAAGAGGGTCAGATACATTGTGACAGGCAGCTCACCATCCCCTTTCTCTCCCCAGGTACCAGACATTCTGGTGGGCTTTTCTGCTAGCACTCAGGCCTTCTTGAGCCTTTCTTGGCTGGGGAAGGGAGGTCCAAGAGGAGATCTCAGAGCTCCTGAGAAAGCTTGGGGAACAGGGTCACAATAGGAGTGCCCTGGCATTCTCTGGCCTCCCCTGAGGGGAAGAACCTTCCGAAGCCACTCAGGTGATTTGGAGTCTGGAGCTCCCAAGAGTACAAGACTTCCTGAAGGTGACAGTGAGGGAGCTCAGGCCGCAGTGTTGGACTGCAGCCAGGACTGCTTGGTTTCTGGGTTGCCAAGGAGGGAACACTTGGTCCAGGGAAGCTTTTAGCTAATGGCATAAAGGGCTTTGTGTCATCACAGTTTTGCCTTTCGCTGAGCTTTATTGGTAACCTGCTTTGTCCTGATTTGGGGGTGGGTAAGTACAGAATTAAAGATGATGCTTTTATATGTATGTATGGGTGTACATGGAGGTGTGTCCTGGTGTCGCAGGCAGCTCTGTCCCCTTCCTCCTCTTCCAGGTGCCCCACTACTCCTCACCAGGCACTTAGTCCAGGGTACACAGAGCTCAGTGACTTGCCTCCCTGCTTTTAGTGTGCTGTCCTCAGCCAACTAACAGGTCACCTTCCCATTCCTGCCTGGCCTACTCAGGGACCCCTCAAGAAGGTTCCCAGCCTTCTTCCACATTCACCTCAATCAACAGATATTATTTACTCAGTCCAGGGTTTTCAGAAAGATTTGAATCAGCCTCTGCCCCACCACTTTGGTACTGGGAGTTGAACTCAGGGCCTTCACACTGAGCTTTTTTTTTTTTTTTAATTTTAGATAGTGTCTTGCTAAGTTGCACAGGCTGTATGTTTTACCATACCAGGTAGGTCTCTGCTTTTAAGGGGTTTATATCACCCAGCCCTCCTCCAGGCAGCCTTCCTTGCTATCACCAGCCTAGGGGACCCTTGCAAGGGCTGGGAAGTCTGTAGTGTTGTAGAACTATTTTTAGAACTCTACTAATGCCTGTAGTCTCAGTATAAGACAGACTCTTCTCCACGTAACCCCCACCATTTCCTGAACTTACTTGCTTGCTTGCTTTTTCTGTCTTTCTTTCTCTTCCTTCCTTCTTTTCTCTTTCTTTCTTTTCTTCCTTTCCATTTCTTTTGTACGGGGATTCAAACTCAAGACCTTGAACTTGTGTGGCAGGCAGCTGCACCACTGAGCTGAATCCCCGGCTCTCCTGAACACTTTCTTGATGGGCCCGAGCCACGGGGACCGAACTGAATTCAGGGGAGTGTGGGGGGGCTATGCATTGAGGATATTGACGTCTACCAGTGAATCTGGGCTGTCAGTAAAGGGAAATGACGGGAACAGGAACCTGGGGCTCACTTGGATGAGCTCTTGCCTCTTGGCTGGCTCCAACAGTACGTGAGCAGTGCCAGCAGAGGGCAGTGGTGAACTGGTCTGCGAAACTTGTGGGTGTAGCCCGGAGGGGCTGCGTCTTTGGTGGCCCCGCCCCTAGCCCGGCCCGATCGGTGGTCTAGAGGCTTTGTCAACTGTGAGCTGCGCGGCTCGGCTCGCAGCAGTCGGCACAGGTGGTGGCTTTTTGGGTGGGCGGTGCTGGAAGCCCAACCTGCACCCATCACTGGTTCCCTGGGGGTGGCAGCGGACTAGGAAAAGGGGCGCTGAGGTGACCCGGACCCCAGGGAGAAGGTCCATTAGGAAAGGCTTCCTGAAAAGAACGGTTACCTCTGTGGTTCCCACTGTTGTAAGCTCTGTCATTTGTTGTAAACTCCGTCCTTTCCCTATTCGCAGATCTGTTACACTGATAATTGATCAGTCAACCAGGACCGCCACCATTTGGCAGCTGAGATGGCTTCCTAGAGATTAGGTACTGAAAAGTCAGGTGCTACAAGCCTGAAGTGGGGAGCATCCCTGGGGGGATTCCCTTGCCTTACCCTGACAGCTGGATCCCCTGAGAAGGACTCAGGTTCCCAGGAGTCTCAAAAATGGAGAAACTCCCTGCTTTATGGCTTTGTGGGGGGATGGTCTTTGAGAACGCTTGGAGAGTCCCAGCCTGTTTCTTCTGACATTAGTCCCTGGCCACACCCTGGCCAGGAGTAAGGACAGAAGGGAACCCTTGGTCCTGGGATAATACATTAACCACCTCCTTCCTGCCTGGCATTGTGCTAAGCTCTTTACACCCATTATCTGTTTTGTTCTCCCCACCACTTTGCAAAGTCAGGGTTATTGTCCTCGTTTCAACACCGGAGGAGGCTGAGGGTCAGGCAGGGCAAATAACTTACCCAACTACTTGTAAGTGAAGCCTTAAACATTAGGCTAGGAGATGCTTCATTCGTGCTCAAGAGGGCTGTACTCGGGAAGATCGTGTATAGGGACCCCTGGTACTTGGTACTGGGAAGAATGATGAGATGCTGGGGTTGGGGAGTGGCCGAATGTGCCCTGTATCCCCCTAGGTCCGGGCACACCTCTCAGCCTGGTTGCCTGGACTCTGGGGCGTGAGTCAGACTGAGTCACACCTGGCTTGTGCCAAGGGTGGGCCAAGGATGCTCAGGGCTGCAGGCAGGGCCAGGGCTTGCCTTGGAGGGCTGCCTCCTCTCCTAGCAGGTCTGGGCTGGGATGTGTGGTGCCAAGGAGAGCAAAGAGCCCGGGACAGCAGGAGAGAAGGGTGACACACTTCATGGTGAGCAGAAAGCATGGCACATGTAATGAAACAGACTTGCGATTCTGTCTTGGCCTGGAACTTAGCTGGGGGACCCTAAGCAATGACTTCCTTTTTCTGAGCCAGTTGCTTACTTTTGTACTTAGGGGCAGGAGAGCTGGGGGGAGCTACCTTCTAAATACTAAATGAGAAGTCCCACTAAGTGCTCCATAGTACAGATCTGAAAATGATGGAGCCACTCTGCCTAGGACAGAACAGGCTGCCAGCACAGCCTCTCACCAGTGGGGTGGGATGGGCCTGGCTTCAGTAGAGCATTACCATATCAGGAATCGCTGGACTGGTCCCTGCCCACCAAGGCTGTGGGGAACGCCATAAGGGGAGAGATGGAGAAGGGGCAGACTCTGCATCCCAAGAACATTCCATTCCATCTGCAGACCAGTGAGGAATCCCAGCCAAGGAAAAAGGCCCAAGGGATCTTCTGCTTCTCCCCAGAGCCCCATTCCATAATATTGTGTCTTGTACAGGCTCCCCACAATGGCCCCTCTTGAGATAGATGTTGGAGAGTTTGGGTGGGGTTTGGTGGCTATGGGAAAGAGGCAATTAAAGCTCTTGGAATTATTCTTTCCAGCTCCTCCTAACTCCTTAGAGCCTCTACTCTATGGATCTGGACTCCAGGATTCTGCTTCTTCCCTGGACAGCTCCTTCAGGAAGACTTCAAGAATTGGCCCCACTTGGCCTCAGCACCCACTTTATGGAAGCCCTCACCTCCCAGTGGCAAGGGGCTGTCCTATGAATTTTTACGCCACATTTGACTTTGCTTACTGTATAATTGGAGATGTTACCACAGGGCCCAGAGATGCAGTCAGATTATTGGCGAGCTTAGCAAACATTTCCAATGTGACAATGAAAAGGATTTCTTTTAAAGAGAGTCATCATCCTTGGGCAAGTCTCAGCATAGCTGGAGTCCACATTTTGGTAGATGTCATTGCTTCCTAGTCTAATGGTGCCAGGAGGCCTGTTAGAGGGAATACTGAGAAACACTCAGTTTCCCTCACTTACTGTGCTTGTTCTCCCCATGTGGGGTGTGCCTGTGCCCCCCTCCCGCCCAGACAATCATCTGCTGCCTGTGGGGGGGCATCTCTTTCTCAGGAAGAGGTGGTGGCAGCATAAAACTTCCAAGCAAAGTTTTAAATGCAAAAAGGAAACACATTTATTCAAGTACCCTGATAAAGAGGGAACACATTTACTCATACATAACCTAAATCTTATAGAACTCTGCAAAGTGAATGTGTATTGAATCTGTCCTCTGACATACACATTCAGGAAGAATAAATTTCAATAATGGAAGATGGGAGTATGTGGTTTTTCAGGTTCACTTTGCACACATCCTTGCCTTCCTTTTGTGTTTATCACAGCTCTTTTCAGTTGACAGTTCCTTGAGTAGCTTCTGTTCAGTCTAGTGATCTAGGCCTGTTGACTGGTTGGTTTGGAGACTCATTTCTCCCTTGACCCGACCCCCAGCTGGTCCTCCTGGGAAGTTCCCAGTTAAAGGATGTGTCAGGAACCTCAGGCATGGTAATGCACATTTGAGACGGTGACCCAGGGAGAGGTTTTTGTCTTTGTTTGTACTGGTTTGATCCCAGGCCCTTTACCCATACTAGGCAAGCACTTTACAACTGAACAACCAACCTAGCCCTAACAGTTTGTGCCTAGGGTTGGGACTATAGACCTCCTTGTCCCTTAAGGCCCCTGTAGGAGACAGAGCACATGCATACTGGGAGGAGTTTTTATTTTATTTTATTTTTTTGAGACAGAGTCTCACTATATAGTTGAGACTGACCTGGAACTCGCTATGTAGCCCAGGCTGGTCTCCAACTCACAGCAGTGCTCCTGCCTCAGCCTCCCAAGTGCTGGGATTACAGTGTGTGCCACCACGCCTGGCTCTGGGAAGATTTTTTAAAGGAACTATTTCATGTTTTGGGGGCTTAAGAAATCAACAAATGGGCTGAGGGAATAGCTCAGCTATAGAGCACTTGCCTAGCACACGGGAGGCCATGGGGTCTAGCCCAGAACTCCGGGCTCCAAGGATGGAAAGCTTTTCAGTTCCTGGGCCTGGAGGGTGGGGTGGGGAGGCAGCTGTGGAGAGTGCTGTAGTCAAGCCTCATAACCAGGTGGAGTAGGAAGGATAAACACCTCTCCTTTCATTCTGTCAAACACAACCAGAAGCAAGGGAAGAAGGGAGCCATTGATATCTCCATAGATGTCAGTCTCCCCAGGGCACAGACTGAAGGGTGGAGAGGGGCAGTGGACCCCCTGAAGTCACAGCACTGCAGCTTTACCTCTGGGGGTGAAAGGGTGGGTGAGGAATTTGAAGGGGGAGAACAGGGCTTTCTTCCCTCAGCTGTCCCCCTAGTCACTCTGACTCCCAGTTCCTGATTCCTGCCTGTCTTGGCATCTTAGGTGGCTAAAGAAATTGTCCACAAGCGGAACAAAGTCAGTCAGTCACTGAGTCAGTGTTTTTCTCACACCCAAAGCACCACACCACTCCCAGACACACCCACAGGCATGCATTTGCCACCACAGGCCCAGGACAGTCATCACAAGCCATGCCTAGTGTCACATATACGTGGAGAAAATGTACCTCTTGGTACATAACTACACTTTGCCAGGCACACGAAAAATGACAAATGTCACAGTGATGTAAGAAATGCCCTGCCACATTATATGTACAGAGGTACTGTCAGAGTCATCCACATAAGGTCGCAGTGTAGGAACAGGATGGTAGACGACAGCAGTGCTTCTGGAGTTACAAATCTCCTTGACCCTTGTTTTCATTTTTGTTTTTTTGGCACTGGGGATCAAACTCAGGACCTTGCAATTGCAAGGCAGGCACGGTGCCACTGAGCTACATCCCCAGCAACTCCTTGAAACTTTTGGCCTGTTTTCTCATCTGTAAAGTGGAAAGAATGCTCTTTTTTTTGGTGGAGTTTTCACAAGGATGAAATGAGAGAACAATCAGGAAGACTGGAGGACTGGAGCATCATGCCTGGCCTGGAGTTAGGCTCACCAGATGGTAGCTGTGGCTGCAAAGCCTGTCCTGCACACCTCCACTGCCTCACACCCACGCACATGTACACAGCAACACCTGCATGTGATGGGGCCAGCCGGATACCCTCCAGCACAGGTGCCCTCCTCTGACCTGTCTGTCAGGGCACGTGTGCATTCAGACAAGGCCTTCAGCCCGGTACATTCCCCAAGTGTCCACATGGCTCCCTTCCCACTGCCTTCAAAATTATGCAGTCAGATGGCATCTCTCAATGAGGTGCACGCTGCCTTTTTAAATTTGCAAACCCTAGCCCTTCCAATCCCTTTCCTTGCTACATGTATTTTTATGCATCAATGATCTTCTAAGGCCAAGTGATTTATTTTGTGTGGCCCACCAAAATGTAATCTTCACAAGGGTAGGAGTGTCTATCTTTTGTCTGATGATGTATTCCCAACACCTAGCCTGGTAAGTGGCATGGGGTGGGGGGTATTGGATGCTGTGTACACACACACACACACACACACACACAC